TGGATGAGAGACCACTTTGCAAATCTAGGTTACTGTTGGAAGTGGTGGGGTCGTAATGGCCTAATAAATTGAAGGGAACACCATACAGCTAGTGAGCACTGTCTTAAAACCGAAGACATTAAACCGAGTTCCCAACTCTCTGTTGTTATTAAAAATCCAATGGCACTTCTTATAAACAGTAGGGGTGAAGCCCTGGTGTCCTGGCCAAATTCCCTTCATCGTCCCTTACTGATCATGGCCTCCCAATCATCCTCATCCTCCGAATCACTGTCTCTCCACTCTACCTATAGCTGGTGTGTGGTGAGCGCACTAGCGCCGTTGTCCTGTGGCTGCCGTCGTATCATCCAAGTGGAGCTGCACACTGGTCGTGATGTCTCTCCCCACCCCCATGCTTTTGAAGCACTACAGTAAATGCGCTATATAAATACACATTACATTACAAGTTGTTTGAACAAACAGCAAACATCATTTTTGAGTGTATTGTTGGCTATTTTCACAAATATACCTGAGCAACAGAACACTGGTTTTGCTTCCGTGAGCCTGTTTTAAAGGGACAGGTTGTACTAAAAACCTGTGTTTTGTTGACTTCAGCCTCGTTCTCTGTAGTGACTAACATTTAACTCGGGTATCAGAGTCAAAGCTCAGGAATCAAACCGGATCCACAGGGAGGAAACCTGAGTCCTGATTGAGCCGCCAGGAGAAGGAAAGACTGAGATGGGCTTTGTCCTGTGAACAAACGCTCTTCTCAACGGAGAAAACACAGAAAGCTTTCTTACTCACGGTCACTGGAATGCCTGAACTCAAACTACACAGAGAACACTTTTTAAAGAGGACCTAGACTGCAAAAATCACTTTTTTAAGGGGTTTAAACACAGTTTAGTGATTATTTTTTATAATCACACCTAATAAAAACAGTCTGCAGAAGTAAAGTTTAATTTTAAACTAATTTCCAGAGGAGCACGTTCTCATGATTGACCCAGCTGGCCCATATTAGCTAATCATGATCCTCCAATCAAAGGATCCCAAGTCACAATGTATATATCCTCATTTCCTTTCTACAACTATCTTCGTCTGGAAGAAACACCCCTCCTTCCACCTTTATCCCGAATGAGCGGCACGGTGGCCCAGTGACTAGCACTGTTGCCTCACAGAAGAATACCAATGGCGTTGGTGGGTCCTCGCTGGGCCATCTGGTATTTCGGTGCATAGTTTGCATGTTCTCCCCGTGTCTGCATGGGTTTCCCCCGGGTTCCCTGGTTTATATTATAGATAAATTAAGCCGGCGAGGCTGTGGTGTAGTAGGTAGTTCTGTCACCTCAAGAAGGTCGCTGGGTCGCTGGTTCGAACCTTGGCTCAGTTGGCGTTTCTGTGTGGAGTTTGCATGTTCTCCCTGCCTTCACGTGGGTTCCCTCTGGGTGCTCCGGTTTCCCCCACAGTCCAAAGACATGCGGTACAGGTGAATTGGGTAGGCTAAATTGTCCGTAGTGTATGAGTGTGTGTGTGGATGTTTCCCAGAGATGGGTTGTGGCTGGAAGGGCATCCGCTGCGTGAAAACTTGCTGGATAAGTTGGCGGTTCATTCTGCTGTGGAAACCCCGGATTAATAAAGGGACTAAGCCGACAAGAAAATGAATGAATGAATGATAAATGAAGCCTAAATGTTTTTCTAATGTCTAACTTTCAGGAAGCCTTACTCCTGAGCTCGATTTTCCTCAACGCTGCGAAAAGGGAGAGCCCTCGGCCTGAGGATCCCTTGAGCTCAGGGCTCTCTCCCGGGACAGCATGCCAAACAAGCTATGTATAAATCATGAGCTAAGTGTGAACTCTTGAAACACTTTGATTGACATTCTCCCTTTATACATGTCATCAGAGGGGGAAAGCCCTTATTCTCTCCCTCATTAGCATAAACAGCCCTGAGTGAGAAGCAGCCGTCTGCCATTCAAGAGTTCACACTTAGCTGATGATTGATTATAAGCAAGTTTGGCATGCTGTCCCGGGAGAGAGCCCTGAGCTCAAGGTCCTTGAGCCCTGGGCTCCCTCCTGTTTGCAGGGCGACAGGGGAGCCTTGAGCTCAGGTAGATCTCGACAACTCCCCCCTTGATAAAAATTGATGACTAAAGATTTGAATGCTATGAAAAGATATGCTACAGGTTAAGAGATTGACTTTAGTGCAACATTTAGATTGATCAATTCACTTGTTGTGCATGTTTTTGGAATGTGGGAGGAAACCGGCGACGAGCCCACGCGAGCACAGGAAGAACATGCAAAACTACGCACAGAAACGACCACCGGCCTGTTAAGGACTATAGAACCGATGACGTTCTTGCTGTGAGGCAACAGTGCTAATCACTGGGCAACCATGCCGCCCTATGGAGGGAAAGGTGAAGAGGTAGGGGTGGAAGGGGGGATTCTTCAAATCGAAGATGACTGTAATGAAAAACCCTGGCTCTTTATAGTGGGTTAGGAATGGCCTGATTGGTGGATCATGCATGCTAATGCATAACCAGCCGTGTTCAATCATAATCATGTAATCCTCTCGAAATTAGTTTATGAATAAATTTCACTTTTTTTATTAGATTTATTAGAGATTTAACATCATATCTGCTGAAGATAATGTCAGCCACTGAGAGAATTATAAATGTGGAGTTTTAGATGAAGCACAACTGAACTTCTTCAGAGACTGATAAACTGATAAACCCATGAAGCGTTTCAGTTTAGGTGCGCTATGAGCGTGCTGTTGGCAGAAACCTTATTGGTAGATTTTTTTTCTTTACTCATAATGAAAATGTATTGTAAATGTGGGTCAAGATAGGCTAAACTTATCCGGCCTACAGTTTTTAACATCTGGGCCAAATACTACATTTGACATCTGGCTCAAATCTTGTGTGCCGCCTTAAAGACGGTGCCACCTCTGCTAAAACTGGGCCATGCATGGCCCACATGCTGTATACCAGTGCCAGATGAATGCCAGCTGTGCCAGCTTTATGCCAAATGTGGGCCAAAATTCTTTGCTATTTGCATACAATTTTGTTAATACATATAAAGCAAGAGAAATGGTGCTGTAAATGTAAATACCGTATTTTTGCTGTAATTGATTGGTAAGTTACTGCCGAACTGCTGCCAGTGAGTTTTTGCAAGTCCTACAGGAAATTGTTAACAGTGTGTGTAATATGTCAAGTGCCTTTAAATATTGGTTTCTTTAAATAATATTGTTTGTATGTTCATGCAAAAAACATAGATAGGAATATTAACTGTTAAATTAAACCACCACAATGCATTCATTAAATTGAAATTACTATTACACACCCACACACACCCACACATGCACAAAAAACAGTAGGTTAGCCATATATTTGTGTGGGGAAGCAATCTATAAACATATAGAGGTTGCCTTCAATGTTTAAGTCGGGTCAAATTAACCATATGAGTCAATTAAACTTAAGCTGACTTAAATGTGTAGCTTAAAAACTTTAGTTGAAAATATGAATAGTTTAGTTTCATTCATTCATTTTTCTTTGGCTTAGTCTCTATTTCAGAGATTGCCACAGTCCAATGAACCACCAACAATTCCAGCATGTTTTACGCAGCGGATGTCCTTCCAGCTGCAACCCAGTATTGGAAACAGTTTAGTTTAATAAGTTATAATTAACCTAAAAACATATGTTGTCATGACATATTGATCATATAATGTTTTTACAGTGCGTATAGTTAGAATATACTTTAATAAATCACAATAATTAAATTACATAAAACAGAAGTATACTATAAAAACCTTGAGGTATAAAATTATAAAGATTATTGTCTTAAAATATGAATAAAAATGAGAAATGTGTGAAACCCCATTTCTGCCACAGAAGAAAAAAAAGTATCATAAAATGATAATTATAACAAAAGTCCAAAGTATGACATGTAAGTGAAAATATTACTTTAAAAGTCAGAATTATAACAAAAGTGACTCTTTGTCATAATGACTGTTAACCTCTGTGTAATCTCTTTGACTTTGTCTAATGACTTTAATCTCTTAATTTGATTTTGACTTTTGTCAGTAATTATTTACCACAGTCTGATTTATATTTTAAAATCTCATGACAGAAATGGGATTTCATAAAAGGTGAAATTTTCTTGTCATCACTATGACTTTTTAATGGTAAAGTTATCATTTACTTTAGCAAACAAAACTATGTGCATATATACTGGTTTCACATACAATTGAAGTCAGATTTATTAGCCCTCCTTTAATTATTTTTTCTTTTTTTAAATATTTCCCAAAAAGATGTTAAACAGAGAAAGGATATTTTCACAGTAATAATAATAATATTTCATTTCTCTAGAGAAAGTCTTATTTGTTTTATTTCGGCAAGAATAAAAGCAGTTTTTAATTTTTTAAAGCCACTTTAAGGTCAAAATTATTATTATTATTTTTTTTTTTTTGTCGCCTTGCCTTGCCTTTAAATTGCACTTTAAGCTTTAAGCTGTCAAATAATTTTTATTAACATCATAGCAATGATAAAATCAATCAGTTTTTAGAGATGAGTTATTAAAACTATTATGTTTAGAAATGTAATGGAAAAAAAAACATATTCTCTCTGTTAAACAGAAAGTGGGGAAAAAATTTATAATTCAGGGGTGTTAATAATTCTGACTTCAACTGTATGCGCATATATCCTCATATAGGTTCTTTCCATGTGGGGTATATGACTTATTTTTTCACTTTCTTTTACTTTTCACTTCTTTTCTCTCTAATAGGTTTAATGTCATAATTGTAACTTTTTTATGTCATATTATGACTTTTATGTTAAAATTCAGTATGCTTTATGTCAACTTATTTTATCTAAATAAAAATATTTCTTATGAATTATTTCTATTTTAACAGTATATTTTGAATATTGTATGTATTTTGTATGAAATAAACATTGCCTCTATAGACAATATTCTAAGTTTTAGACCTGACCAGCCTGAATCAATGCAGATTTTTTTTATTTACAGAAGATAAAAACTCACCCTCTTGCTTTCTGGATGAAAAAGCAAAAAAAAAAAAAAAAAAAAAAAAAAAAAGGAGGATTATTTACATAAATGCTTGATTGATCAAGCTCCGGATAAACTTGCATGCATATTCATATGAAAATCATCTTTAACAACTTACTCATGCTCAACGCCCTCTGACATGTTTAGATGATGACCTGTTTCATACATACAGTAGATTACAAAGGAATCAGTCAGCTTTTACAGCAATTACCACTTAAAAACATCATGCTTACGCTGGAGACATGCAGATGATGGTCTTACCTGGTTTTGGCTCAGTCAGATGGTGTTATTTTCCACTCTGTTTCTGAAGGCTGTATGCTGTAAAGCCAAAACCCACTGATATATAAGTTATCTGAAGATCACATGACACTATATGTGGCGTTTTATAAGCTGAACACACACACACATGCACACGTGAACACATACATGAACAATAGTCGAAGACATTCTCTGTAGTGGTGCATTGTGTTTATTAATAGATCGGCTGACAACTGTGTGTGTGTGCTTGTATGATGATTTCAGAGCTTGTTTTGGAGTGATGATACAGGTGAGGACAGAATTATTATTAAAAATATTTAATAATTTAAAATCCTGTGAAATTCCAATTCTTTTTCAAATTATTTGCCAAGTGCTGTTTAATGGAGAAAGACAAATACCATGAAAACATTCACATTACACAGTATATAGTAATACTTTTCTACTGGAGAAAGTCCTATTTCTTTTACTTTGGCTTAAAAAAATGTAAAACTGCTAATGTCAATAATATTAGTTCTCTTTAAAAATATATATGTTCTAATTGGCTGCAGAACAATTATTGATTTAATATATTTATGTATATTCATTCAATCATTCATTCATTAATTTTCTTGTCAGCTTAGTCCCTTTATTATTCTGGGGTCGCCACAGCGGAATGAACCGCCAACCTATCCAGCAAGTTTTCACGCAGCGGATGGCCTTCCAGCTGCAACCCATTACTGGGAAAATTTATGTATATTTATTTATTATATTTATTTATTTATTACATTTATTATCTTTTATTTATTTGCTTGTGTAATAAAATTTTTATTTTATTTTTAATAAATTTATTTAATTAAATTTTATTTTTTTACTTTTATTTATTTCTATTTATTTTTTTATTTTACTTATTTTTTTATTTAATTTAATTTATTTTATTTTATTTCATTTATTTCCATTAATCTGGGGTTGCCACACTCGAATGTGTGTTCAATTGTGTGTTCATATGTTTTACTCATCTCTGGGAAACATACACTCTTGCATTCATACACATACACTACGGCCAATTTAGCCTTTTCAATTCATTTACTTACTTGTTTGTTTATTTATTTAAATTTTATTTATTTATTTAATTTATGTGACTTATTTAATTAATTTATTTTATTTATTTTTCTTATAAATTTTTTGTTACGCAACTTTTTTTTGTCTTAAATTAGTTTGTGATTTAAAAAAAAAAGAAAATAAAAACTAAACAAAAATATATTTGCTACGGAATATCTGCAATGTAATGTACCTTGTTTTTTTTTTTCAAAAACACAATAAAATTTATTTGTTTCTAAAACTATTATGCTTAGAAATGTGTTGCAAAAATTCTCTCCAGAGCACTTGTGACCTAAAAAAATTAATAAGATTTCACATGCTGGGCTAAAATTTCTGTCCTCAACTGTATATAATATTGAATTAAATTACATTTAGGTGGGAATAATATTTGTCTTTTGGATGTAATCATTACAAAATAGGTAAAATATTACTGGTAGAAACCCACAAGACCAATAAGGTGTACAAAATCAATATACAGTGCATCTGGAAAGTATTTATAGTGCTTCTTTTTTATGTTACAGCCTTATTAATAAATTAATTTATTTCCTCACAATTCTACACGCAATAACCCACAATAACAATGTAAAAAAATGTATTAAAATCTGAAAAAAAAAAAGATAAATCACATGTGCATCAGTATTCAGAGCCTTTGCTCAATACTTTGTTAATGCACCTTTGGCAGCG